GGAGGACCATTTACTTGGATCAATTACTCCCCCAACACATTTAACCGCCTTAGACGCCAACTCAAGTCGAACTCCCAACCTGGAGGACCAGGAGACTGGACTTTGTCTGACCTCTACCCATTNGACCTTCCAGGCATGATTAGATCTTTGGCTCAACAAAAGCCATCCTGTGTAGTTCTTTGGGTCACAGAGGTGCGCAAGCCATCACACCACGTCAAGGTGCGGTCTCGTTGTGATGGTAAGAAGAATACCATGGTCACTGGTAGAAACCGGGTCCATTAGTATGAGAGAGAATAAGTTTTGATGATTTTTTATCACTATCCAGCACAGAGATACCTCTCTTCGGAGAATGAGAGAGGTCAGATAGGCTGAATAGAAGCTGGAGGAAGTGCTTTCATTTCTGAAATCACCAAAATGTAAGTGAAGATTTTCACCTAGTAGTTAGACTAGAAACGGGATATAGGAACCAAAGATAGCAGAGATTTCTGTCTGTGAACACGAGGAAGATATACACAAATTAGGGATGATTGTACTTTTTTGAAAAGAAAACTTGAGATGACAACGAACAGACAAACAGTCAAATCATCTTTTAGAACAGGTATATATCACTCCTTAATTTCTGCACCACGAAACATTGATGTAAGTTGCCGCACCACCTGCAGTTTTTTCCTACCTCGCTGCCTGTCCTGCCGGTAGCAACCGAAGCCTTCTATTCGCACGATCACATCCTCAAAGTTTTTATTCAACTGAGTTTCTTGTACATATACAGCACATGTTGGAATTATTGCGTGTTCAGAATGGAGGTTAAATCCGAGAACTTCGCGAATAGCGAGTGAACATTAGTGCTGACCAATGATGGCACAGTCATCCTGGCAGGAGGGGTGCAGGTAAGTGCGGTCTACCATACGGCCCGTTTGCATTTGTGATCCAAGGACATTTAAAAATTATGTATTTTTACTTCCTCTTTTATTTATTGAATATACAAATGTACAGTCAACATCCAGGAAAGGGGGCCGCATCCATACAAAGGCTGCCTGAGACGGGCGGCAATGGAGCGATTCGAACCCGGGACTCCCAGGTCGCAAGTTGGTGGCTGAACCCACTTGGTCACCAACTCCCCAAGCAAATAATGACCCGGGAGCAGAGAACTCCCAGTTTTCAGTCGAAGCATGTCCTGACGAGAATAACTAGAAATACTAGACGTGCTTAGCATCCAGATATTGATGAAACAAACGTGATGAATTCCAACGTGACGAACGAACACGAGAATGTAGCGCAGCCAATCGAAGGGCACGCGAACATACCAACGCAAACAGTCAGTGAAACAGGGACAAGACTGCGATATCTACTGAAATTGTGCAGCATTTGAATCCGATGTGCCTGCAAAGGTTCAGAAAATGTGAGACAGAATCCAATGTGAATAAAGTACGCAGGTATTTTAAATGTATGTGAGACAAGAATATGCGGTTGAAACCCGACAGCGCGAACAGAAGTTGAAAAAATATTCAGGAAAATAGTTTTCCATTCAAATAGATGTACATTAACATGAAGGGAAGTCATTTTTAATGATATACACTCAGTTGATTGAGTTGCATCGATGCAAACCAATGAACCGGCAATCAAGTTAATGGATGAAGTAAGGTGATGGACAGCCCGGTAACCGCTTTAATGCCTTCTGCATCGATTCCATCCGGGACCTTATGTGGGTGACCAGACTACATCGTTCGATTTAAGTTACCCATTGCCACTACGGTAGATCCTCCTGAGGATGATTCGTCCCTCCTGCTGTTTAGAATACACATTTGCGTTTAGAAAAACTAATGAGCGGAAATGATATGATTGACGAAATCCCGAATGAGTTTAAAATCACAGATCCAACCATAGCTAGCAAATAGTATGCATATCGTGGCATCACTGCAAGTGAAACTGACCACTTGTGGTTAGTGGTGTCGGTCCCTTCAACACAAATCTCATTGGAACGATCACTGAATAGCCTGTGATCTAGAAAGCAGGCGTGATCTGATAAGGTATCAACCGCATTCAGTTGTGATGATCAAAGTTTACACGGAACCTTAGCAATGATTCTCGAATGATTCTGGACGTACGGTGTCAAATGCAGACTGAGCCAGACGGATATTCCCCATCGTTATTTGGGCAACAAATAGAGTTTTTGGAAACAATCGGTTGTCTAATATTGAAACAAACACCAAAGTGGATTTGATAAATAGGTACTTGATATTTGCTCTGTTGCAGTGTGCCTCCAATTTGTTTAAACGGTGTCCGTCACACGCTGTTGGGCGCTTTTGATCAACTAACTGATGGATTTTTGTGTAAAGTTCGAATCAAGAGCATGGTAAACCCCTTTGAAGCTAAACAGCAATCATTAAAATGCCTTATTTTATCTCATCTTTGCAAAGGGTCTGCATTCCGATGTTTGCAATTCAGGTGCTCAGGTGCGGTGTTATACCTCTTAACTTTAATTGCGAAATCCTCAGCACGGTAGGGGGTGGATGTCTAGGGTTGCGGCTGGTCACCCTTCCCTTGCACCNTTGATAAATTCTCCCATACGACTAAGTGCCTCAAATAACCTCTACTGAGGAAACCCTACTCACTGCCTTCTCGTGGCGGTGTTTCCCACCAAAGTGAGAGGACGAAAAGCCGATATCCGAGGATACAACCGGGTTTGTGAACCCCTGGTAGTTCAACTAGGAGAGGTGGCCAAAAGCCCTGATTCCAAACCAACCAAGAGGAGGCATACGAACCACACCTTTTTGGTTGTGGCAATGGTCACCGGCTCAACTGGGCATCAAGGTGTATTGGGCACCTTCGATGTTTTACCCCTTCCGAAGGACATATGGTTTGATGGAATGAACATCGGCTCCGAATGGATTGCGGCTTTCACACCACCCCGCTGCCTTGTGGATTAGGCTTTGGCTAGACGAAGGCTCCGATTGTGGATTCCTCAAGAAAGTTCACCTGTATTGGCCCGAGAAACCTGGCAGTATTCGGTCGACAAGCAAATCGTGGAACGTTCTTCTTTTTATAAAGATTATTGTACCATGATTCGTTTGGCACACAGTCTGACCTCAGACGGGTGTGATATATATATATATATATATATATATATATATATATATATATAACTTAAATGTGCTTCCTTAGTGTTTCGTCTCTCGGTTGTCAGACTAACTATCCCAAAAGATACCTATCGGAAGTGCTGAGGTTTTTATTTTATGTTTGAAAGATACTTATCATAGCAAATTGTTTTTGTTTTTATTTCACCTCAATCGCCTTATGCCCCTCGATGGATAAATGTTCAACAAATACGTAACACAATCACCTTTTTCCCCTGTGCGCCTATGAGTGTTCAGAGTATCTTTCTTACTCTTGTAAATTATTGTAAACCGAGAGACTTGAAAAACGTGATGTTTCTCTTCTGCATTATCCCTCGTCGATTGTTCTGTTCACCTACCATTTGGAAAAATGCCGAGAAGAGTTTTTTTGCGCTGGCCTATATTGGTGGATATTGTATTCCATACAAATTACAAATTCAGTTTTATCATGCTTATCTGTTTACCGAACCCGCTTAGAAAAATAGTTCGTGTATCTTAGACGGGTCAAACGCCGGCACAGTGTCATCATCGCTTGAGCATTTTCCATTCCGAATTTCCCACATGACGTACCGTTCCACAACTGATTCTCCTGTAATTCCCTACCAACACTTAAGTAGCATCGGACTCAGAACTTATCCTCCTCCTATGCCGGTTCGAAAATCACACGACCGGTCGGGTTCATTTATCGATCGGTCGGATGGTCCAGCAGGGACCTGGTGCTTTCCCCTCTTCCGTAGTATATGATATCAGTCCCCATGTTGCGTCATCACGACATGTACTGTGCAAGGTACTATCCACATCGCAACATGACATCGCGAAATGCTATTCGGACATCTTAAATTGAAGCTGTGACATTTTAAGTTGATATTCGGACGTCTTAAATTGAAAAAAGGTATAACCTATTGTCCCTTGGCTCCTGTTTCGACCCTATTCTTTGGCACTTCGTCATGTTTCCTTACAGGATTCTACTACCTACAGTGTCTCCGCTAATAACGGATTATTTCGTACATCAAATCAATGGAACACAAATTTCGCGAAATGTTGTTTCCAATCCGTGTATTTATGCCATCTATGAAGCACCCAAAAACGAATTCGCTTGTCTATCTAATTGTTTCTTTGTTCTGGTGAAAAATCATTCATTCATGGTCCCTAAGAGTCGTGAACCGGACAGATAGGAACTCAGGGACCGTCTTTCTTCCGTTTCTGGATTGGCCGAAGAGTGAGACCAACTGACATCCGTCTATTCGCTTCATGTTCTTACTCATCGTGTAACTTGACCCCCGCTCACGTGTGATTGTTCGCGCTATGCTCTGGACCAATCTGGTTGCATCGATTAACTGGCGAATGATTTGCATTGCAGATCGTTGTGTGTGCATGCAATCAATTTTTGTCACTGAGATCGATGATGAGGCTGAGTGGCACGTCACAGCTCTGGATTGGCTCCGAGAGAGAACCTGAGGGGAGGGGAGGTGGAGTGCAAACATCACGAAGAGGCGGGAGAATGAGTGTGTGATTGTTCGGTTTGAGGACGAAGAAATTAGCTTCGAGGTGGTCACATACATTTACACGCACATACACACACATGCATATACATATGCAAACGTATAAACCTATTCGCACAGTACAACCCATGGACGACATTACAATACAGCTAAGTCTACCGAAGTGCCATATCATCTGCGAGTGACAGGCATATCTGATTCTGATTGGTCGCCTACCGTAGGCGCCTACTGATAGTGCGACACCGAGTGAGTGTGAAAAACACATGAAATCCGAAAATCCAATAAGAAAGCTATCCAAGGATATTCGTGTTCGGCCTCATATCTTACCAACATCCCATTTATTCGTCCATCCATATGGTGTTAAAAACCGACGAACATTCAAATCATGTCTCTAGTTCCAACAGCCTCAGTTTTGCTCGCCTGGTTGAGCCTCATCACCGCTCAGTTTGATCACTGTCTTCGTCCCAGTGGTTGCTACGGTGATGCTTGTTGTTTTAATGTGGTCACAAAAACCGGACCGATCTGTGATCCGATTCCCGGTTGTGCTGCCTCATTCCCGGTCGATTGCTGCCGCAATGCGAGACCGATTCACACGGATTTTGGAATTTTCTACGGCTACGCAATCCAGTTGGACAGTGCATTCGGATATGGAGAATTAGGACAACGCTATTTGGAGGTGAGTTGAGCGAATAGAACAAGTGTATCGTTGACGGTGTGTTCGTTTGTGGCACAGTGAACCTAATGATTATATTTGCACTTCCTCCCTAAGCACACTCCTAAAGAGCGATCATCCCCATTGAGGGAGCAAACTCTCTCTATCCCAACTCATTTTATTGTTTAATTACTCCAACACAGTCGTCGGGTCATATATCTTTACATACACTCCAACATGAAAGACACTTGGTCCAGTGCGAAGACAGTCCAAAAGCCTTCCTTTTATGACCGTCAAAGTGAAAGTTTTATTGTGGCAATTGCATACAAGCTGGTGGTCCTCTTGTCCCCATAAGATATTTACACAAGTGAATCGTTTTTCAACAAAAAGTAATGACTGTCACATATAATCCCGGATATACAGATAACACATAATGTAGTCTTCAGCTAATTTGTGCTTATGCCATGGTATCACCAAAATGCCAGTTAAAAGAGTCAACAGCTGACATAGAGTTGACGCGAAATAGGTGTTCCAAGTATTACACTGACTGCAAAGTATGGACTCCGGCATTCCAGTCGGTACTCTGGAAGCACTAACTTGAAATGATATCCCCTGTGGTCGATGTTGGGCGAGAGAGCAGTGAACGATCAGGATGGTTTGGGTTCTACAAAACCGAATACACCCAAGTCAAGTCTCCTCAAATTCGGCAGTACTGAGTACAATAATATAGTCCCAATTATCCTAATCTCTCCCCCCGTAGGGGAGGCAGTGCACTGCCTTGACCATCTTGGTGGCAATCCTTTGCGAACACTCCAACATCTTACGATCACTTATTATCCATGGATGGAGTATGGTCAAATGTACACTGGTATCCAATGTTGCACTTGGGTTATCTTTTTTTACAAACGCAAATAGGTATTAGGAGATTCTAAGTTCATTTTGTTGATATCCCTTCTTGGTTGTTTAAGATAATAATGGACACTTTTGGCCCCAACAGACAGGACTGTAACTTTCACAACAAAGCGAACGAACTCACCAGCGCCCATACACCCATACATCCAAACGATCACTTCTAAAAAGATTCCGGGTCTTTGAGGAGAAAAGGGATTAAGTTGCATATCACATTATCTTGTATCCAAACTGCGAAACAGTAAAAATAAAAATGTAAGAAGGGGCCCATATAAAAATATTTGGGATCAAGGAATTCCAAGTCCAAGGAATATGTAGGGCCGTTCGGGTCAGAATCTGACAATAATGACTAATAAGAAACGACTGAATGTAAAAAGGTTCATGTCAGGATTGTAATTTAAACTGCAGTAAAAATTTGCTCTACAGAATCTTGTGTGAATGCTATTCCATGAGTAGGAAACCCACATATGATCTGTTTTATTTAGCAGAAAACAACACCGAAAACATTTATTGGTGTATTTGATTACGATAAGATAGACTGTTATTGAAGATAGCCCCATTTATCGTTCAAAACTCGATGGGTATCCTTGACTATACAGAACTCAGTCGGAGGTTAGATGAGTACTGACCATTTATCTTCTTCCTATAAGTATTTATCGAACGTCTCTACCACGAACGATGGAAAGAAATTTGACCGGTCCCGGTCACCTTTGGTCTAGGGGAGGAACTAGGTAGATCGCTGTATTTTTGTTTTGTTTTGAATCGAACAGTGACGAACTCTCAAAAGTGCAAGAAATGCGATGTGGTTAGGGATATGCACTTTCAAAGTAGTCATATGTCTCCAAATTTTCTAAACAAATTACGGCATGCTTCTCCCAGCACTTATTGTTATCTTCAATGTTAGGACCATGATTATTATTATTATTATTATTATTATTATTGTTAATATTATTATTATTATTATATTTGTATTCTTAATAATATCATTAGGGATTGAGTAGTGTATCTGTCTGCGAAAGCTGTAGCTCGTTAGTTCTCTCAAGTCAAGCTCCAACTCTTATTATGGGTAAGTTACAAAGCTGGTGCTTATTGAATCTCGTAGGATCTCTATACACTGGGTTCAGTTGGTAGTACAATTAAATAGCAAATTATAACGTTCACTTACGGGTACTGAAAAGTTAGGTGTTTCAATGTTTTATTGAGCTGAAACTTGAATGAATCAATGGCTGGTACACAAACCACTTGAGGTGGAAGAGAGTTCCAGGTTTTACAAACTCTGAGGCTCAAAGAGTGACGCTTGCAGTCCAGCGGACTCTTTTGGAGCAAAAGTTTAAACAGATGTCCTCTGAGGTGACCATTCCTGGATGGCAATAATAGAGTACTACATGGGTGATTAGACTGATATGGTATTTGATGTAAGAGAATCAGGCCTCCCCGTATTCGACGGTATTCAGACAATTCGAGTACGAGAATATGGAGCCTTTCACCGTAGGTTTTAGACTGTAAATGTTTGATAAATTCAGCTGCTGTTCTCTGCGGACGTTCGAGTGGCTTTTGGTCGCGAATCAGCCATGGATTCTAAGCCTGTATAGCCTACTTGGTGTATGCTGATAGAAAACGGGGCATTAGGTCTGTTTCGAATTATCCAAAAACAAGTTTTAGCAATCCAACGTGGTTTAACGCTTTTATCAACACTGTTGCACAATGTGTGGAACATCCTATATCCTCACGAACAATAACTTCCAGATCCTTTTCGTTTGGAGACCACGGCAATGGCTGAGCTCCAAGTAAGTGTGAAAAGCGACCCCTCTGACGCAAACGTACAACCTTACATTGATCAACGTTGCATTCGATGTCATTAATGATCGACCATCGGTAAGCTGCGTCGAGAGTTTCCTTCAAGGTTTCATAATCTTCAGGATGGTGTACCATCCCCCATGTTTTGGCATCCTCAGCGAATAATGATGCATTTTCTCAAAGGACAGCTGATATGTCGTTTATGAATGCTGGAAAAAGGTACGGACTAAGTACGGATTATTATGGAACTCCACAGCCAGCCTCAATCGGTCCCGATAAAGAACTATTAACTCAAACAGATACGATACGTCGTCGAAGAAATTCCCCAATCCAGTCAAGAAGCAGTCATCGAACACCGTTGTTGTGGAGATTACGCATCAGTATATGGCGTTTAACCCTGCCAAAAGCTACGGAAAAGTTTAAGTAGACTACGACTACTGCCTCCCTACGTCAACTGATCTTGTCCACTCATCTCATACAAGTAGCAAGTTGGTGGTGCGCGAGCGTTTTCTTCGAAACCCGTGTTGGGCCGGCGGAATGATGCCGTACTTCTTGAAATGCTTCATCAGAGAATCAGCAACAATCGATCTCATAACTTTCGACAGAACAGAAAGAAGTGTAACTGGACGGTAGTTTGCAGGATCGCTTCTGCTTTGTAAATAGGTGAAATGTTATCGTGTTTTCAGGACTGAGGCATCTTCGCCTCGTATTGGTATAAATGGTATAAATGAGCAGTTATTACAGATAAGTGATTTGTCAAGGATGTCAGGGTCTATGGGTGAATGTTGTCTTCCCCAGAGATGAATTTCTACGCAGTGCCTATAGTTTGGCTTTTACCGCTTCAGATTTGAAGTTGACTATGGTCAATTTGGGTATGGGACACGTGGCAGAAGGTATGGAAGCAGTAATCTGACTTTGTCACCTGCAGCTAACTGAACTTTTAGGAATTCGGCTGATTCAGAATTAGTAGTGGAAACGCGCCTCGCATTCCTTAGTACCGGTATTCCGTATTTTTCTTTTCTGGTGGCATGGTTATGCTTATAAAGGAGCTTTGGATTGGAAATAAATTTGTGCCAGGGTTTTTTGAAACCTCAGTTTATCCTCTTGCAATAATTTTACAAAACGTTTTGTCAACATTATATGGTTATCCCAGTCGGACATCCTTTGAGCCCTCGACAGGAGAAATTCCTCTGGGGCACCTATTACTTGGTTCGACTACTGTTAGGTGAAAATCGTGTAGGCTTGACTTTTGTGTCGATCCTTATGAGTTCTGTTAGAATGTCAACGAATCTTTTCCAGGACTTCAGTGGATCTAGCTGCTCTTCTGTTTGTGTCCGTTGCTTGAAAGTAGCAAGGTTTAACAATTCTCCGCAGTCAATAGCGGTGCGTACGTTGGTTTTCAGGCATACTTCTATGGAGACATGGTAAATGTAATCGAAAAGCAGAACTGCATGGTCACTGAGTTCTAATGGAGGTATTATTTCGGACGATTCGACCATAGGCTCCTCGCTTCTCAATAAGAAATCGAATGTTGGTGGTAGATCGTTTGTTCCAAATCTGGTGGGATCATTTACGTGATTATCCTTTGGATGTGAGTCTATAAAATGTGATAAATTTCGCTTGAATTGGTAGTGAGAGTTCTGACTTTTTCTAAAATTGGGGCCATTCAAGTCTCCTACTAGGAGAACATGAGTGAACCTTACGGAGAGAGTGTATCTCATAGTCTGCAACAGTGATTCCTTTGCTAAGTCTGAGGATGCATGAGAACGGTAGACTACACTGACCGAACAATTACTGTCTTTGGACAGCCTCATTGTGCACCAAAATGTATCTGGGGCTGCATCGAAGACATCAAGCGGTTCACATTGAAGATTGCTGCGAAAAGCTTGCAGCACACCGTCACCTCGTTTAGGACGATCACGTCCAGCAGCGACATTCTGGGTAGGTGCAATTCAGAGTCATAGTAAGGGGACCGGTTTCAGTTATTGATTTCCCTTTTATCCTACCCCGGACTGGAGGAAAAGAAGAATGGAAGTTAAACTGACACCAAACCTGTTTTGTTAAAACATGCTTGATTTTTCAAAGTCACAATGTCACCTGCCTCCAGCGTTCTTTTTTTCAGGCAACTCTCTAATGCCTTGATATCACCGAATATGGTTGAGAGATATACCGAAATCGGAGTGAGTGAATAAATCGTTCATGCTTAGCGACTATGATTTTACTTACATCCCCTGATAGCGAATCGCATCCGTCAGCTGCAGAGAATTAATCCCAAATATGCCACTTTCCTTCCTATAATAGGATGGATCATATGGCCAGGCTTAAAG